CTGCAGAATTATGACTTTTTTCCTGCAGAATTATGACTTTTTTCCCCGCAGAATTCTGACTTTTTTCCCGCTGAATTCTGACTTTTTTTCACAGAATTCTGACTTTTTTTTGGCAGAATTATTACTTTTTTCCCGCAGAATTATGACTTTTTTCCCCGCAGAATTATGACTTTTTTCCCGCTGAATTCTGACTTTTTTTCACAGAATTATGACTTTTTTTTTGCAGAATTATGACTTTTTTCCCGCAGAATTATGACTTTTTCCCCGCAGAATTATGACTTTTTACCCTGCAGAATTCTGACTTTTTTTTCCGCAGAATTGTAACTTTTTTCGCAGAATTGTAACTTTTTTCGCAGAATTCTGACTTTTTTTTCGCAGAATTCTCACTTTTTTCTCTGAATTCTGGCTTTAATCTTGCCACACTAATCAATAAACTTAAAATGCAGCAACAACAACAACAAAAAAACCATTTAATTTTCAGATGATTATTTTACAGCCATCTTGGACTTATTTCTTAGTCTTATTATTTATCAATTAAATAAAATTAAAGATGCAGAGAAGATAAACAGATTAAACTTTCAGGCAGGTTTAACGTTTTTTTTACCCTAAAACTGAGGTTAATTGTAAGAAGGTGAAATTATTCCTAAAAATCTGATAAGAAATGAAGTGTGAAGATTAATAAACACAGAAAATAATCCCTTGTTGTTGCAAGTAAATATCTTAAATGTATAAATAAATAAATGTTTGTATATCTGGAGCGTGTAACAAAGGTAATTTCCCTCTGGGATTATTAAAGTATGTCTGATTCTGTGGATGATAGGAAGCAGTTTAACATCATGCTAATGTTTTTAGCTTTACCTCTTTAACGATGACTTCCGCCTCCTCTGAGTTAAATGAACCCTGAAAAAGATAACAGAAGATCAGCGGCTGTTTAATGTCATCAAACCGATGGAAAACTTTGATTATTTTTATAAATAAACCATCCTGGAGGCAGACAGCTCAGTCTGGGTGCAGGGAGCGGTTCTGTTAGCCTCCAGCTAACTTCCTCTTTCTAACCTCCATAAACCTGATAAAACATCGGTTTATAGTCTAACCTCGCTGCCGTTTTGATACTCCTCCATCCCGGCGGGCTGTCCTCGCTTCACGCCGCTTTCTGGCTCCGTTTACTGGGAGAAAACTGGATCAAGACCCGGCTGGGTGGAACAGAAAGGGAGTCTGGTCCAGACTTCCTGTCAGCTGCGACACTTAACAGAGCTAAGGGGAGCTGCTGCCACCTGCTGGTGACTCCGGGAACTAACAATGCAAACGCCCGCATTATATTGTCCTCTAACATTTAGTTTTTTATTATAAATGGTAGTTTTTAATAGGAGTTATACGGCAGAGTATTAAGGGCTACTGAAAAAATAAATAAATA